AGTGGTATGAGCAGACTCGGCGAGTCCATAGCAATCTCCCAATCTTTAAAGATGGACTTGATGAGTTGTTCATACAACTCGGCGAGTCATAGACTGGACAAGTTTTTAAGTTGGAGATGAACTCGACGAGTTCAAGAAGGAATTCGGCGAGTCGGATGAAGATGGTCCCGATTTTATAATTGAAGGAGAACCCTTCGAGTTTTGCTAGACTTGACGAGTGGAGTCAGGGTTTTGTGTGGGATTAGAGAAGCATGGACTCGACGAGTTGGTAGGCCAACTCGGCGAGTCAGGTCAACTAAATGTTGACTTTGACCAATGTTAACTTTTACTGAACTTGGACTGACCCTGTTTAGGGTTTTATGTGATGTGTATTGACTTGAAGGTTGTTGTGTAGGGATCAAGGAGTCGTATGAGTCAACTTGTGCATCTAGGATAGTTCAGACACTACACGATATTGAGGTGAGTTACCTTCCGGTAGGGGTAGGTCTAAGGCCACAATGTCGACCCACCTAAAAAGGGGTATTTAGAAGATAATTATCTGGGTATGGTTATGTGTTGCTTATGAGGTTTATCTGGGTAGTATGTTATCTGTATGGTAGGGATTAGTTTCCCTGACAGTGGTCCTTAGGACCCAAGGGTAGGTCAGTACCCGGATATCCATGGTTGTATGCTTATATTTGTTGATTGTATGCTAGTAGTAGGGGGTGAAATAGTTCCCAGTTACTGGTTGAAAGATACTGATGTTGATTACCGATTAAAAGATACCGATGATGGTTACTGGTTGAAAGATACCGATGAAGGTTACCCGTTGAAAGATATTGATGAAGGTTACCGGTTGAAAGATACCGACGATATTGTATGGTATGTGGTATGATGGAGGAACTCACTAAGCTTTGTGCTTACAGTTTTGGTTTTGGTTTCAAGTACCTCTTCATCGAAGGGGAAAGAGTCGGCGGTGTAGCAGCGCATCACATAAACACACACATGTTCCCGCAAGAAGTTTTTTTTAGGACTGTACTATGATTTTCAATACTTATGATGTTATGGTCTGAAATACAACATTATGATTTTGTAATGGATGTTTTATTGACAATGTTTTGGTAAAATGTTTGTTAAATGCGTTAATTCAAAAATGAAATTTTTGGCATTGAAAATTGGGTCGTTACAAGTTGGTATCAGAGCCCTGGTTTGAGGGATTCGGACACACCCACGGGGGTGTCTGGACTCTAACCGAGGGACTAAAAGATCTTTCAAAAAAATGTTTTTCAAATGTCTAAACTAAGAAATTTTTAGAAAGATGAAGTGTGTGATGCGTGCAACAAGCCGGGCTCAGGTATGTTTTCCCCAAGATACCCATACTTGTTATGTTATGTTATATGGTTTTGATTCAGAGAACTGCATGCTAGAATACGACTAAGGAACTAGAAGGATGCCTTGTGTGCCTGATATATGATCCTGAGAATTGCATGCTAGTTAGGGCTAAGGATCTAGGAAGGATGTCTTATGTGCCTTTTGTATGAGCTGTATGCTAGGACTGTTTAGTCAGTAATAGGATGGCTGGTATAGGTTATGCCTGGTTTGGTTACTCAAGGCACAAATGCTGCTTGCTTTGTGCTATGGGGGTTCTGACCAGCTTCAACTAACTAAGGAGAGGATATGTAACAGTATCTGCAAGATAGTTAGGGGGAGGTGGTGGGGACTCCTAGTGTAGCTGATAACGGAGAGTAGGTCGGAGAGTGCCCTAGGGAAGCCTAGGATGAGGTCAATGGAAAGGGTATCGGTAAAAGGGACTTGGTGAAATCGAAGCAATTCTTGAGGAAAGTACGGATAGATGTGGAAGGTAGTATGGGCCTGTACTACTGAAAGTAGAGGATTCGTACTCGAACCAAGGAGGGCCTAGATGGAACCGGGAAACTTGGAAAGTGTGTGTGACCCCCAGAAAGTATATGTGACCCTGACATTCATACGTTTATTGTTCCAGAATGGTGGTCACGCGACATGGAGCAGGAGGTTCAGGATCCGGGTCAAGATCGGGCTCGGGGGCAGGATCCGAGCATGTGTATGATGGGTTACGCGAGTTCCTCGCATTCGAGATCACGAGGGGTATCCTTGATGTGATGCCGGTTATCTTCGGGTTAATCAAGGAGGGGATCATTGAGCTGATGGAGGATCGCCTCGGGCGTTCCGGAGTGACATGGCGACCAGCCAGTTAGGACCATGCACACTGTCCTTTAAGGACTTCAGAGGGAGTGGTGCACCAGATTTCCACGGGGCGAAGGGGTCCAAACAAGCCGAGCCGAGCCCGAGCCTGGTCAGGCTCGGCTCGTTCTTGCTTAAGTTATATGAGGCTCAAGCTCGAGCTCGGATCGATTCGAGATTCTTGTACTGAGCTTGGCTCGAGCTCGTAAATAATTATACAAGCTCGATTTGCGCTCGGGCTCGGCTCGTTTTTTGTCTGACGTGCCTAAATAAGCTTAAGCTCGGCTCGAGCTCGTTAAGAAGCTCGTTTACTAATACCCTAAATCCCTAATCCCCAAATATGTTTTTATTTTAATATATAAAAATAATAATAAAGTATTTTATATAAAGGCTCGTTGAGGCTCGCGAGCCTAATCGAGCTTAGTGACATAGGCTCGAGCTCGTTTAATAAATGAGCTTAATTTTAAGCTCGGGCTCGTTTAAAATCAGTTTCGAGTCGAGCTTTTAATGATCCGGTCTCGAGTAGCTCACGAGTAGCTTGGCTCGTTTACACCCCTCCATTGCTGCCAAACGATGGATTGCGGACATTGAGTCTGCACAACTGACCAGCTTCTACCCCAAGGGGTCGAAGGTATGATTTACAGCAGGGTGTTTGAGGGACTGGGCTAGGGATTGGTGGGAGTCGATTGGTGTCTCTCTGTGAGCCTCAGCTGTTGAGGCTATGACATGGTCAGATTTTGTGACCCGGTTCAGAGTAGAGTTTGTGCCAGCTGTAGAGCTTCAGCAGCTGGCCAGGGAATTCTTGGATATGAGATAGACTACGGAGATTGTGACGGAGATCACCGCCAAGTTCCGGGAGAGGGCTTTGTTGGTGCCCCAGTATGCGGGTGATGAGGACATGAAGAGGACCTGCTACCATGACATGCTACGAGCTGACATCCGGGAGCATGTCAGTTTTTCAGCTTGCCCTACCCTAGATTCCATGATTGCCAAGGCTAGGGAGAGGGAGATTGAAAGGACCTTAGATCAATCGATTTATCAAACGATGACTATTAATAAGAACAGAACAATGAAGTATCACAAAGAACTTTCACTAAGAATGATAATCTCACAAAGAGATTATTGTTCGCACAAAGCGGCTATTAGGGTTTGTGAAAGACAACATCTTCACAAACCCGCACAAAAGACTATATAGAACTATTATAGACAATCCCTACAAATCAGGGATGTTCCAGCTAACTAATATATGATAACTATGGAAACAAGATAAATACTAAATCTGTTACATTAAAAAGATATATACTGAATAACTTGTATGCTGACGTTGATGCTGATGCTGATGCTGGATTACGTGCTGATGCTGAGTGATCAGTTTCAAACATCATCATATTATAAGGTTCGACCTTACAATCTCCCCCAATATGATGATGTTCAAAACAACAGCTATACTAGAACACCTCTGGACAAAAATTCTTCATACTAAGCTTTAACTTCTATTTTCACAGGCCAGTAAGGACTATCCAACAGCTCTTGTCTTCTATTCGGTAACTCCATAGCAATCAGTATGTGAAACTCTCCAGATAGATCTTGATGACTCATGCACATTTGTCTTAAGCCAACAAGATGTGCTGTTGGAGCTCTTGGAATTTCTGTGGTGCGCTGAAAACACATTCTTCTGTTTTTATCAAGATAAAACATTCCATGTTCAAGAAGAGAGATGAACTTATGCTGAACCGGCTCAACACCAATAGGAAGAGAGTTTTTTATTCCTTCAGCACCAAAATTTAGAACCAATACATCTTCACTATCAACTTGAAATATGGTTCTTCTGATTCTTGGAAATAAGGAACTTTGGCCTTGCTGCTGAGGATGCTGTATAGGAACAAGATCTAGATGCTGAACTTTCTTGATCAGTAAATGGAGAGCACAGGTCAGTTCTGAAGAGAGAGCCGAAGTTTGCTTGGATGCTAATTCGAGCAATTCCATCCATTCTAAATATATGTATCTGATCAGCTCATCCCTCTTGACAACTTCAGTGTATGGATGTTGAAGACCTTGACGAGTGATCAGCAAAGTAAGAATTTTCTTGTTACGAGGTTTAGAAGCTTTAACTTTGATGATCTTATCACTGCTCACTCGTCGTTTAAGAACATCTTGAAACCTCTTGCGATCAATCCTGTCGAGAACATTTTCAGTCCTTGACTTGCTGCTACTGGGAGGAGGCTGTGAAGATTTGGATTTGGACTGATATTCTAAGAACTTTTGCATCTGAGCTTCAAAGGATCCTTTGGCCTGAAGTTTATGCTGAATGAGAGATTCATCAGCTTGAGCAATATTCTTTAGAAGCTGAGCTTTATTGGCTTCATCAAGAATTTGCTTAACTTGATCAGGAGACATGTTCCATTCAGCTGCTAAATTGGATATACTGACGATGGACTTAGGTTTCTTGCTAGGAAGAGAAGTATCAGTATGTGAAATAGCCGATTCAATATCTGCTGCCTTGCACTTGCGAGATAGAGGTTGAATATCCTCGCTAGCTACATCTGAGTCTTCTCCTTGAACTAGAACAATGGGATCAATGAAGTTCATATCTAGCATTTGATACTCATCATCATGATCATCTTCAGTATCATCTGAGGCTTCTTCTTGAACTGGCACATGAGGATCAATGAAGTTCATTTCCAGCATTTGACATTCATCATCATGTTCATCCTCATTATCATGCTCACTATTTTCAGCAAGCTTTTCAGTATCTGCTGGTCTATCAGACTCGTGCACAGTCTGTGGTGGCTCGGTCTGGTTTAAAATGTTATCCTCAGATCTGAGCTCAACAGATTCAGTTTCTCCTTCTTTTTGATCATCATCAGTTTCTCCCCCTTTTTTTTATCACCATCATGTTGTGGGCCAGGGGAAGGATTTGGCAAAAGAACTCCCTTCAGTTGGTGGACATCGGCCTCAATTCGTAGAAGACGTTGACTCATGTCACGAGTCAGTGTAAGAAGCTCATTAAATATTGAGGCCGGTATATGAAGGAGTACCTGGAACTTCTTGTGAGCGATGTTGCTCCCCCGGAGAAGGTTGCTCCCCCTGGGATGGGTGCTCCCCCTGAGATGGTTGCTCCCCTTGAGCTGAGTGAACCCTCTTAGTGACAGAAAGAGTATGATGAGAAAGTTAAGGGGAGAGATGACCACCGTACTGCGTTTCAGCTTGTTGATCAGCATGATCTTTGTTGTTACCATCAGCTCCTTCATCAGTATCAGCGGTTAGTGAAGGAACAATATATGGATTTGTGATCCATTCTCTCATTCGATCAGATATGCCGATGTCATTTTCCATTGGATCATCTTGATACATTTGCACTGACATGCGTGGGCATTGGATGGGGTTTCCAAAGTGGGAGTAGTAGGATTCAACAAAAAATTTATCTAGGACAAGAGCAATCCAGCGTGGAAAGGGGACATGATCAGCGCGTACATTGGCACAAAGAAGTTGGACAAGCTGATCAAAGAAGAAAGCCCCATAATCAAGACATTTGTTTAGAAGAAGGGAACAGACAACTTGTTGCTCGTAAGTACTCAGTTGATCACTACTGCGAGATCTGTAACCCACACATTTGCACAGAGCCCCGGTGAAGAATTTCCATCCTGGAGTCATACATTAACGCAGAATGAGAGCTGATCGAGCACCAGCCTTTGAGTGATCATAGCCCAGTTGATCAAAGAGGCGTCGACAACGTTCAATAGTTGGAAGCTCAGATAATAGTTCAAAGATTGGTAACCTGAGCGCAGCACTGAGGAGGTCAGCAGTGATAAAAATTGAGTTTCTGCCACGGCCAATAGTCCCGGAGATGATGTTGTTTTCATCATTAACCATTGCAGTGTTGTAGAACTCACATACTTGTTCGGGAAAGAACTCTGATGGAACGTCACTGATTGCGTATCGAAGTCGGCAGGAGACTAAGAAATTGACAAAATCATCTAGTCCAAGACCTCGATGAACATCTGGTATATCAGGGTTGAAAACGAAATTTGTGGCTTTGATGTATATGGGAATAGGAGGAGAGTTTGGAGTTGGGACGACTCTTCTTGAAGTGGAGGAGAAAGTGAACAGTGATGCCGCCATTGAAGAAATTTAGGATTCTAGGGTTTTCTTTGTTTTTTTTTATAAGAGACAGAGAGAAGTTTGGAGGAAGGTGAAAAGGTTTAGGGAAGAGATGAAAAGGTTTAAATAGGGGATGAAATGGTAAAAAAAAAGGTAATGATTATCTTTATTGAAAATAACTGCGTATCTTGACAGACTGTCAAATCAAAAAAAATAGCCGATGTACTGAAGAGGAAACTTCAATCAGTGTCTGCGGAAGCACTGAGATCATTGTCACGAAAAGTTACATGTTGAAAGATAGTTTGTCATCAATTCAAGGTACAACTTGCTTGTTTAGGGTTAGCAAGGTGATCGGTGCGTGTGATAGATACTCGTTTAATTATCTAACCATCGGCACAGAGTGTCGAGTCTTTATCAGTAAGTGGTATTTCTTACTGAATCATTAGACACTGAGTGAGAAGAATGTGAAGAGAGGATTGTTGCATGTGATAGACCTTGGTGTTTTGGTCTAACCATCGGCAAAGACTGTTAGATTCTCATCAGCATGTGTTTTGTCACGCTGAATCACAGAATCAGTGTAAGATTGGTAAGAGGGGATAGTTGCGTGTGATAGAACTTGGTGTTTTGTCTAACCATCGGCAAAGACTTTTAGATTCTCATCAGTATGTGTTTTGTCACACCGAATCACAGAATCAGTGTAAGATTGGTAAGAGGGGATAGTTGCGTGTGATAGAGCTTGGTGTTTTGTCTAACCATCGGCAAAGAGTTTCAAGTTGTTATCAGTGTATGGTTTAATACAGTGAATCATTCAACTTTAGTTTAGAAGATTTGTAGAAGAGATAGAGATAGGAAATCATACAATGTACTCAGCATGCTAAACATCATCAGCGCATCATCATCAGCACAAAAAAAACATTAGTTTATAAGACAATAACAAACATTAGTAAAACATTTTTCAATCGAGAGTGATCATTCCAAGTTCGCCATTGATGTGAGCATTAGTTTGAGTATCCAAGGCCTTGGTGAAAACATCAGCTAGTTGATCGGAAGTCTTAACATGTGTTAAAACAACCTTGCCCTTCTCAACATTGTCTCTGATGAAGTGATGTCTGATCTCTATATGCTTTGTCTTTGAGTGTTGAACAGGATTTTGTGTGATCTGAATGGCACTGGTGTTATCACAGTATATAGGAGTCTTTGTGAATTTAATCCCATAGTCTAAAAGTTGATTTTGAATCCATAATATTTGAGCACAACATCTCCCGGCTGCAACATACTCAGCTTCTGCAGTGGAGATAGCTACTGAGGTTTGTTTCTTGCTGGACCAACTGATTAGTCAATTTCCAAGGAAATGACATCCACCTGACGTGCTCTTCTTGTCTAAGTTGCAACCTGCATAGTCAGAATCAGTGTATCCAAAGAGTTCAAGCGCTGAGTCACGAGGGTACCAGAGTGCCAAGTTATGAGTGGCCTTTAAGTATCGAAAGATGTGTTTGACTGCAATGATATGAGGCTCCTTGGGATTAGCTTGGAATCTAGCATAGAGAATGGTTCCAAACATGATATCAGGGCGACTTGCAGTGAGGTAAAGAAGAGATCCAATCATTCCTCGATAAAGAGAGTGATTAACATCAGTGTCGGTGGGATCAGCGTGTAGCTTATCAGTCTTGGACACCGGAGTAGAAGCTGGTTTGCAGTCGCTGAGAGAATACTTAACTAGCATGTCAGCAATGTATTTACTTTGACAAATTGAAATACCTGATTTTTGTTGCTGAACCTCAAGACCTAAGAAGAAATTAATCATCCCCATCATGCTCATTTCGAACCTTTGAGACATGATCTCAGCGAATTCTTTACTCAACTTCTCATTTGGAGATCCAAAGACGATGTCATCGACATAGATTTGAACAAGAATCATTTCTGAGCCTTTTTGTTTGATGAAGAGAGTATTGTAAATTGCTCCTCTTCTGTAGCCATTTTCAAGAAGATATGATGTCAGTGTCTTATACCAGGCCCGGGGAGCTTGCTTCAGTACATATACAACTTTATCTAGTCGGTACACATAGTCAGGGTGCTCTTTGTCTTCAAAGCCTGGGGGTTGTTTGAGAAATACTTCTTCTTGTAACTCACCATGAAGAAATGCCGTTTTGACATCCATTTGGTAGACAATGAAGTTCATGTATGAAGCGTATGCGAGAAACAGTATGATTGCTTCAATGCGGGAAACTGGAGCAAAAGTCTCCTCGTAGTTGATGGATTCAATTTGAGTGAACCCCTGAGCAACAAGTCTTGCTTTGTTGCGAGTAATAATATCATCTTTATCAACCTTGTTGCGGTAGACCCAACGTGTTCCGGTGATGGTCTTTCCTGATGGTCTGGAAACAAGAGTCCAAACCTTATGCCTTTCAAACTCGTTCAGCTCGTCTTGCATGGCCTTAATCCAATCAGCGTCTTGAAGAGCTGATTGTATCTTGTCAGGTAAAATCATTGAAACGAAATTAATGTACATGAAAAAATTATTAGATACACGAGATCTGGTTCGGACACCATCATGAAGATTCCCAATAATTTGATCAACAGGGTGATCTCGATGTCCAGAAATTGATTCCACTGGATTTGACACTGAAGTGTTATTGCTGAAGGGAACATCAGTTGCAAGAGACTCTTCAGTCTCAAGAGTTTCATCAGCATTGGACAAATGAGTTGTCGAGTTGACTGCAGTATCTTGATTTACATAATTTGGATCTGGAACGATAGGATCAGGAATAATAACTTCTTTTTCAATATGAGAAACTTCATCATATGGGCAAGAGAGAAGCTCTTGAAAAACAGAGGAAGAATGAGCTACTTTTTCATCAGTGTATGATTCCTCATCAAACTTTACATGAATGGATTCTTCAATGTACTGCCTGTTCACATGAAAAACACGAAAAGCCTTTGAAATAGATGAGTATCCAACAAAAATACCTTTGTCAGCCTTAGGCTCAAATTTTGATCTGGGATCGCGCTGATTAAGAATATAACAAATGCATCCAAACACGTGAAAGAAGGATACATCCGGCTTTCGACCTTTCAGCATCTCATATGGTGTCTTCTTGTGAACCCTGTGAATTAGAGATCGATTCTGAGTATAACATGCTGTATTAACAGCTTCAGCCCAAAACTACATAAGAAGACCAGCATGAATCATTAAGGTCCTTCCTACCTCAATTAGTGTTCGATTTCTTCGTTAAGCAACTCCATTTTGTTGAGGTGTGCGAGGAGCTGAAAAGTTCTGCCCAATGCCTTTATAATCACAAAATTCTTCAAGAGTTGAATTCCGGAACTCAGTGCCATGATCACTCCTTAGCTGCTTAACTTTGAGACCAGTTAGTGTCTCGTTTTGACGAATCAGCGAGATAATTTCCTGTGCAGCATGACTTTTCTTCTTCAAGAAAACCACCCATGTAAATCGAGTAAACTCATCCACAACCACTAGAGTATACTTGTTTCCTCCTTGGGAACAAACAGGAATAGGTCCAAACAAGTCCATGTGTAACAGATATGCTAGAACATGACTTGGGTTTGAATGACGACTTGGTTTGTTTTCCTTATTCACACGCTGAGCACATCTTGTCTTTGACAAAGCTGAGTTTTGGGAGACCTCTAACTAGATCTTGATTGGATATTTTGGATAGATTCTTAAAGTTCAAATGAGAGAACCTTTTGTGCCAAATCTAGCTGAGATTGGTTTGAGACTTTGTAAAGAAACATTGCATCAGCGCCTTGTCACTTCAGAACATGTCAAGAACATGTATATATATACATATATATATATATATTATCTTTTCTACTTGCTGAGAGTACAATGTTCTTGTCAGTGTTAACAACTCTTCCTTCCTTCTTTGTAAAATGAACTTCATAATCAGCATCACACAATTGGCTGATTGAGATGAGATTGTGTTTGAGAACCTTTACATATGAAACATTCTGAAACACCACATTATTGCACTTGATGTTTCCATATCCTTTAGTAAACCCCTTTCCATTGTCTCCGTATGTTACTGCAGGACCAGTTTTCTTGACATAATCTTCCACGAGAAACTTGGATCTTGTCATATGTCTTGAGCAACCACTATCTAAGTACCAAAGATGCTCCTGACCCTGCAGTGCTGAGAAACTAGTTAGAACACACTGACCCATTGTAAGATGGGTCATTCACAAAGTTATTTGACAATATATTATAGCACTCGTTAGGAAAACAGTTTAAAGAATTTGATTTAAGAGTCCATTTTTCATTTCTAACTTTGATGTTATCATATCGTAATGATGTTTTATCAAACTTGCATTCACTGATTTTGTGAGTTGTGTCACCACATCTGTAGCAAATTCTAGTACCAAAGTTTTTCTTAGTAAGCACATTTCTAGATTTAACACATTTATATTTGAAAGATTCACCAAGTAAACTTTGAGTCCTTTTATTTGACATTGAATTACTAAAGAATTTAGTGTCAGAAGAACTACAATCAGTGATGGATGAGGAGCTGACATTAGTATCAGATTTAGACTTATGTACTGAAACACTGCAATTAGGATATTGTTTAAGTTGTTCATGAACAGCATGAAACACTCCGTTTGAGATAGGAAATGCGATAATATTTTCAGTGAGAGGAGTTGGTCTCACAAGATGTGCAGGGTAAGAAGTAGGATCAATTCTGGTAATTTTAATATTACACTCAGTAACACCATTAGAATCAGTAACACAATGTTCATCAATGAGACTCTGATTAATAAAGGTGTTGCTGATAAATTTGTTTTTGAAACTATCTTTTAATTCATTCATGGAATAAAATTCAGATTCCTTTTCTTGAGATTTAAAAACCTTTTCAGCTTCATCAAAATTTCCCCCAAGGATTTTCTCACATGAATGAGGTATTTGAGCAGAAATAACATAATTAGCATTTTTGTGAGATTTAGCCCAAAGTTTTAAAACAGTTTGTTCTTTGTTCAAGAGGTCTTTAACTTTATCAATTTCAGCAGAT